GGAACTTTTCTCTTGGGCAGATTTCACAGAGTTCCCGGAACTTTTCAGACTGTGGTTGGCCCAGACAATGTCAGGTCACTGGTTAGAGGGGCCACACATTGGCAGGTCTACTTAGATGTGCATATCTTTGGCCCTCTAATTCAACTTTGGTCTCACTTTAGGACCATGAAGATGGACTCGACGTGGAGAGTTCACTAGATGAGTTGGTCTTTTTTCCCAATATGACACTGAATGAATGCTTTTTCTGCTTTCCATTGTTCTCTTGGCTCTTCCAGCTGACTTTTGAGAATGGGTGGCCAGAATTGACTGGGGGCACAGGTTGTGAACCTCAGGTTTGATTATACTGATAAAGAGGACTCAGCTTTGAAATGACCAGGCAGTAAAGTTTCACTTTCAGATACCGAGATATTTTATAAGGGTATTTGTGCTTAAACTCTGATTTCTGTTCTTAAAAACTTATGATCAGTATAAAGTGGCTTTTATAGTGGATTATATCAAGAGTGGCTCCTGAGGGAGTATACTATTCTTAGCTTGGGTCTTCAGCACAGAGCACCCCTGAGAGTCCTTGTTTAATACTTCCTGAGGGTGCTCCATGTCTATCGGATACTTTCAAGATCAAGAGTTAATGTCAATCATGAAATAACTCAGTCAAGGTTTGCCAAATATCTTTTGAAACAACATAATCATGGTTATGTTCAGATCTAGGCAATATATGGTTCCAATTATTTTATATTGAATTAATAATGTCTGTCTTGTTGGCTCCTGCTAAGCTAGTATTCTTATAAAGCCTAGGATCACCTGCTCCAGGATGATGTTGTCCATAGTTGGCTAGCCCTCCAACATCAATTAAGATGATGAAAACAATCTCTCATACACATGCTCACAGAACATTATTTTTTATACATACTCAAAATATTGTAGGCATTATGAGCCTTGCAGCTTATTCTAAATTTTAAAAATAGTACCATTATTTTAGAATCAAGAAAAAAGTTAGGAAATGCTCTCTCTCTCTCTCTCCGTGTGTGTGTGTGTGTGTGTATGTGTGTGTGTGTGTGTATGTGTGTGTGTGTGTGTGTGTGTGTGTGTGTGTGTGTATCCTTACATACCAATAACATTTATTTTTTAAGCAAATATTTGTAGGAATTTGTAGGATACTATTTCATCTAACACTCTCCATTTGAGAAAAGAAGTGTTGGTGAACATCTACTTTGTATATAAATCCATTTATTTTGATAAAATTGAAATTACTGACATTAGGCATTCAACCCAATTTGATAAGGCAATGGATACATTTCCTTTCATGAAATTAAAGAAAATAAATATTGGGGTTATGTAAGACATGAAGAACTAAAAGAATTAAAAGAAAGTGTTATGCCATGTACTATCACAGATACATACACATAAAGAAAATAAATAGTTTTTTAAAAAGAGTTACATTTTATGGGACTTTGGAGTAGCAAGTAGATTACTTTGTATTATTTCATAAAATCCAAAAGTCCTAATATACCCAGTAATGGAGGTAACAAAGTATCCTAAAGCAATGATGTATTTATTTTTACAAATATTACATTGGTTTTACAATGTTAAGATAGTAACACACCTCTAACTTCAGTGTTCAGGGGACAAAGGCAGAGGCAAGCAGAACTTTGTTAGCTTAATGCCAGAATGATTTCTACAGTGAGTTCTGTGCCATCTATCGCTGCATAGTGAGACCCTGACTAAAACAAATGAAAGATGGAAGAAAGGAAGGAAAGAAGGAGGGGGAGAAGGAGGAAGGGAAGGAAGAAGAAAGGAAGGATGGAGGGAAGGAAGGAAAGAGGGAGAGAGGGAGGGAAGGAAGGAAGATACAAAACAAATAAATTACCATTGAACCCAAATCTGTGGTTGTGGTGTGCCATCATTTGTTAATTAAAACACAAAATAGATATTAGACATTGGATTATGTGCCATAAAGTCTTGAAAACATGATGATGAGGAATCCAGTCTGTCCCCAAATAGCAGCGATAACTTGTTTAGCTCAATGTGACTATAGAATGTAGACAGTCTGAGTTCAGTCAGTCTGAATTTTAATTTAGTCAACTAATGGTTCATCAAATTTGGCTAAGCTAATGCGATTACATCATGATTTCAGTTAATAAATGCAAACAACCTACTACCTCATGTAAACAAATTTACTTGCTCTTTCTATTGAGCAGTGGCTGAGTTATAGTTGATTCCAATTTTTAAAATTCCAATTTACTTATGTCAGTAATTTGTTAAGACAAAACTATCCATGTAACTTGAAACATTTTTTTTTCCTGTTGTCACTCATTCTTCAGTGCTTTTCGTTTTGCTGAAAAATATGAAGGTGCTTAACCATGTATAACTGAAGGAGTGTACCATATGTATATGCATAAATGTGACAATCTATATCTTAGTAACTTTCTAGTATAGCTACTACACATTAAATATATATTCTATTATTTTAAAGAAAGAGATTTTTATTAATTCATGTGTTTTGTTTTGTAATAGTAGGTTTTGGGTTTTTGCACCCAAGATTATGCAACTCATGAGAGATTATATTTAAGACATACCTTAGAAGAAATCCATGAATGTGATGTAGTAGGTCTAAAGACCAATACAGGCTGGAGTTACTTTTCAGTGATGGTTTCTCTCCATTGAAGAGCATGTTGAGCTCCGAGAGAGATATCTATTTTGGACAAATGAAAACTTAACTTCCCATGCCACTCTTTAAACAGTTTTCACATTATAATATTTCCCAATTATCCATATATGATGTATGTCTCTGATGCAGGGTGCTGCTCATAGGCCTTATGCTGTCTTCTAAAACATAGACAAAGGTCATGGTGCAGCATCTTTCCCACCCACAAAAGTTCAATAGATGTTTGATATTGTTGTTGCCCATAGGCATGCTGTTTCACCCCAGAGAACAGAATCTGTGGTCCATATTCCAATAATAATAATAATAATAGCAATTACTAGGAGCAGGACATGCAATCATTGAAATAAACATAGACGTTTGTTTTCCCTTTTAATTCAGTGTCCTGATGTCTTTTAAAACATGCTGGCAAACTAAAAAATCCCAGCTCTTGACCAAAAATCTGGTAGGTAGGACTACCAATTGATGGATCAATAAATTATACACTTTTCTGTCAGTCTGATACTTTCCACATTTTCTAACTTCCTTGTTGAAATATGAAACTCAAGTTGAAATTCAAACATGTTTTTCATTCTGCTACAGAAGGATACTTGCTTTCACACCATAACCTAGTTCAGCATGTAAATTTTACCTCATTAGGCCTTTTAATATATACTGCAATATCCACACATCATAAAAGAGGTTTTGTTCTACTTGCTTGCTTTTGTTTTGTTGTTTGTTTCAAAGACAGTGATAAATTGGTTTGAGTGTTTATATTAATCAAAAGAAATGTCTCAAAGTACTTAAGAAAGATGTTTAATTAGGCAATTATTTAAATATTTTAGGTGTATGAAAGGTTGTTTGCTCCTAAATTGGGAAGCTACTCTTGCTCTCAGCCTGATTCACGTTTCTATTGTGTTTTCTTACGCTCTGTGGGCAGGTTTACATCCAGTTCAGCCTTGTTGATGGCGCGATACAATCGTACTTCTGTGGCAGAGTCAAACAGATTCAGACAAAATTAGAGTAAAATGGCTCTAAAGTAAGATTGCACTGTTTCTGCTGAGTTAAACTCAGAACACGATAGGAAGATGCGTCTGTTGTGCCTTTTACAGGCTTCCTGGCGGGAAAGCACGTGGCACCTGGGAGTTACAATTGCCAGTGACTTGAGTGTAGGGCTCAAGGGTTCTGGAGTTATTTAGCAGTCCACAGTGTTCTGCATGTTATGTTAAGCAGGATGCATTTGCATCTCAGGCTCTTCCAACCAGTACCCTGGTACCCACGAGAAACCTCTGGCCTCAACTAAACCTAAGCTGTGGATTTCATTTGTGCCCTCCTCCTTTTTATCGTGCTGATTGGATGCGCACGATATCTTCAGGGTATAGGCCTTCCCATCCTAGAACAGCCACGAGAGAGCCAATAACAAGGGTCTTCAAAATCTCCTATCTGGGAAGGCAGGTCTCAAAAGGCAAAAGCAGAACAGCTGAAATCTTAAAGGGGAAGAGGGAAAGGTATGGTGACGTCTGAAGGAATAAGACAGGCACATGCTATGCACTGATGAACTACAAGCCCACCATTGGCCTATCAGAAAAGCATACTATCCAAGACAGTGCAAAAATATTCGCAGTGATGTTATTTTAAAAAATCAGATTATAGATTCCACACTTAAGAGCTGCCTTGCTTATGTTCAGTGTCAATATGTATTACCCAGACCCAGAGGTTTTTGCAAATGCTATGGCTGCTTGATAACCCACTTGAGCATACATCCTCTTGGCAGGGTTACACGTTAGCTGGGGTAAAAAACTAAAAATACAAGCGTGGCTACTGTAAATTGCGAGGCGAAAGAATATCTAAAGGCAAGCTTGTTGCATTATTTGCAGGCACCAGAGCTGTTTTAGGGGTTGGGGTGAAGGAAAACAATCCTGAAGCCTCACCTTTGTCCCTGGGTACTCCCCCACACTCCGTTAGGTTTGTTTGCAGCCTGCGGACTGAAGGCTCCAGGGCCCGTAGGTGGCGCCCCTCGTCCGTGCTTGCGCATCTTGCAGCTCTCCAGGCGCAGCTCGGAACCCTGCCTGTCTCCCCGGATCTTTAGAGCCCAGAGACTGCATTTTAATAAATACGCGCCTTGGCGCCGCGTTCCACAAGCCCCGGGGTTGAGAGAAGCGGACACACAAACCCAGGCAGGAAGAGCCCGTTTAATCTCTGCCAAGAGCTGACATTTCACAAACGGAAGATTCTGGAATTGCAGTTCCAAAACAATTAGATTACCAAGCTTTTCCCTCCCTTAAAAAACAAAACAAAACAAAACAAAACAAAACAAAACAAACAAAAAAAAAACTGTTCCTTTTATTTCAAGTGTCCCTCCCCCTTTAATTATGAAAGTGACCACTCCGTTCAAGATTAAAACTTGGAGGGACTTTGGAAAAGAAAAGGAATCTGGAAGAAGAAACACAGCTGGTGCTTCCGAGGGCGCCTAGTTTTGAGAAGGTATCTAGGAAGACTGCGCTGGGTGTCTAGGTGAGAATCGGACGCGGGTTTGGCAAGGTGTCAGGGGGGAGTCCGAGGGAAGCGGGCTGTGGCTTCTAGGACGAAAAAAGCGGGGAGTCGGTAGTTGGCAGCTCCGGGCTGTGCCCTCTGGAGTCAGAGGAGAGGCAGGGACCCAGGGATCCTGTTAGTGGGGCGCGCGGAGGGCGCGCGGGACTCGGAGGGGGCAGTTTGCGCGCAGCGGTGCGGTTGGTTGGTTCCTAGGCTCAGCGCGGCTCTGCAGAGCGGGAAGCCTGTGGGTTCCAGACAACGCGGTGCGCCGAGCAGCGTGGAGCGCAGCGCTGTGTGGGCTCCGTGGGCGCGTGGGGCCGGGGCGTGGTGTGCTTGTGGAGCCGGAGCGGACCGCGGGGGAAAGGCGGCAGGGCGGGGCGGCGCGGTTATTGGCCAAGCTCTGGGAGAAGGGTCGTGCTCCGAGGTGTCCTCCTCCCGCTAGCTCCTGCTTGCCTCATTTTTTTCTAAGCAGAACAACTTCGCGGACCTCGGTGCTCGCCCATCATGGATGTTCCAGGTAACCTACCCCATCAGAGCTCCGGAATCTGGTTGCTAGTTGCCTTTTTGTTTTTTAATGCTTCACCGGAACCTTGAGTAATGTTAGTGCTAGGGGTTAGAGAGAAGAGAGCCAGCGGCAGAGCAGGGATGGGTAGGAGGTGGTCCCCTATCCTTTGTGTAGGAGCTGCAGACAGGATATTTATTGAAACCCAACTTATCTTTTCTTAGAAAGAACACTGGAAGAGTTGCTCGGAGAGCGTGGGCTGCGAGGGGAGGGTTCGTTCTGTTTGTGTTCCTGGGCTGGGTATTGGAATGGCCGGCCTCTCTGGGTTACCTGAAGAAGAGGGGACCGGCTGCAAGCGCCAACCCGTGTAAGTTAGCAGAAAGGTACAGAAGAAAGGGAGTCGGGTCCAGAGACAAGATCCTGCAAATGAGTAAAATCCAGGGATTCTGGTGCTGCAAGAGGCTGTTAGTTGTCTTTGCCAGAAAGAGGACTCCACCAGGCTCTCCTAAGGAGCTCCTCAGTGGCTGCAGGGACTTGGAAGTGGGTGTTAGAATTTCGTTCCTCATCCACCCCCATCAGGCCTTTCTGTTTTTGTCCTTTTTTCTTTTTAAGCTCACCCACCCAAGGAGTTTTCTGGAGTTTTTTTTTTTTTTTTTTCCCTTTGGGGGTGGGGGTAGACCCTTTTTATCCGACAAGGAGTGTTTAAAAATTTCTTCCTGGATAGAAAAATAGAGGGAAAAGGGGAAGGCATGGAGAGGAATATTTTCCAATGTGGCTGTGGCCGTCCAGAAAGACGCTGAAATGAAGCTGATGAGGCATCAGTTCTGCTTTTTTTTTTTTTTTTTTTCTTTGACTGCATTTAATTCCTCTAGTGTTGGGATGAGTAGGCAGGGGGCGATGGTGATGACGCCTTCTTAGAGGTCCCCAACCCCTTTTTAGCAAGGTCCTACAGAATCTCAGCCCAGAACCCCAGGGCTCCGCGCAACATTCAGGAATCTGTTTGGATGGCCTGATCGGTGCGCCAGAGCTCTCTCTGATCCATTATGCCACATCCGGAATGGGGATAGCTTTGCGGGACCACGGGGATGGCCACCCCGAAAGGGAGAGAGTCAGGCACTTGCCCTGCTACACACACCTTTCCGCCTAAGGATTCTGGTTCTTTGCCCTGACAGGTCCGCTCGTGCCTTGCTTCTGAGAACCATTTGGCCTTGATCTTCTGAGCCTGGGACCCAACCCAGAGGAGGATACTGCTCTGGTCCTGCCTGTTCCTGAGTGCACCCGAGCACCCCTCCGGCTCCTGCCGGCCTTGGCGTCCTCGGGGCGCCCCAGCCCAGATGCCCGCGCCTGGCCGGGGCCCCCGAGGGCCACCGCTGAGCATGCCCGGGCGCCGGGGGGCGCTGCACGAGTCAGCCAACTTTGGCTTCAGCTTGGGGGCGGCGCTGGCCCTGTTGTTGCTGCTGCTACCGGTCTGCTGCCCGGTGACGGCTCAGAATGACACGGAGCCGATCGTGCTAGAGGGCAAGTGCCTGGTGGTGTGCGACTCCAGTCCATCCGGGGACGGTGCCGTCACCTCTTCCCTGGGCATTTCTGTGCGCTCAGGCAGTGCCAAGGTGGCCTTCTCCGCTACTAGGAGCACCAACCATGAGCCCTCAGAGATGAGCAACCGTACCATGACCATCTACTTCGACCAGGTTAGCGGCTAACCTGCACACCTACGGAGGAGTGGAGGACCGGCCCGTGTGCCCAGCTAGCTAGGGCTCCCTGCATCTCCAGGAGGAATGCCAGGCTGGTTTTCCCACCTCTGCATTGCCCTTAAGTTGCTCCTTTGGCTGTTATGCTTTCCTGGAGTCCCCCTTGAACACGCTGTAGAGTTTGTTTTTAAACGGCCAGCTCTCTTGGAGCGGATTACTGAGAGCCCTGTAAGGTTTCCCGGGCTTTCCAAGGGTCTGGTAAAGATGAGATATGAAATACATCCTACCCCTCACCCCCCGAAAGAAAACATAGTTCGCTTCCCCTTTTTCTGAGGGCAAGGCAGCTGGGGGAGAGGGGAGCCTTTTAAAGATGAGGCATGTAAGAGAGTTTCTTATTCAAAGAGGAGTCTGACAAAGGGCCAGACCCATGGCTTATACTGTGGGATCCAGCTACAACAAAAACAAGCCGGGAAGACAACAGAGATGGTTCACTGCTTACATACCAAAATAAGGTGGGCATGTACCTGCTAGAGACAGGAAATGAAACCTTTGCAGGGTACTCGTACAGTATATTCAAAGATAAATGTAGAGAAGGACTATAAGTTTAATAATAAGAAGACCCATGACTTAGGTGGCTTTAAGCCACTTAATTTCTGGCCTCCGGGCCAAGCAGCTAAGGACCAGGGAGATGGCTATGTAAATGTTTCTCTGGGCAATGACCTTTCTGTGTCCTCTCTCTGTGATTCCTATTAGTTTTCAGGAAATGAAAAGATGAGCATGATTTTCACACATTTTCTAATCAGCTAATGATCTTGCCAAGGGGCTTTGTGTAAAATGGAGTCCTGACACGTCCTGGACACAGATGGAGTTACTTTGTACTGGAGCTCCCTCTGTCCAGGAGCCAGCTCCTAAACCCATTTATAGCCAATGCACACATTCGATCTCTTTTTAAGCTGTGACATTCATGCCTAAAAAAATTATGCATTTGAGGGTGTAGGGAAGTTGCTTTACTATGAAAAATATTTCATTATTTCCAAATAAGACAGCATCATACAAGCATAAATATAACCCATATTCTTCTTTATACAGTATTATTTTACTTTTATTATGTTTCCATTAAGGTGTCATACAGATAGTTCTTGAAACCTTTTCAGATCCACTGATTTGTGGATACAGGGTCAAATCGTAACGGGAATCTTGTTTTTAGAGACAAATTAACTTGGGTTCCTGGTTGTAAATGAGGGAATTTGCAAGAGAGGGAGGCCCCATGCTCAGGGTCTGGCTGGGTGTCTTCTCATTCACATAAAGTCTTGAACTTTCATATTTCCAGAGTTTAAAATGCCCAGTGAGGGGATGAGATGGAGAGACGAGCACAAGTGAGTTCAAAGCCCATGCAGGGGAGTGTTTCATTCTCCAGTGAGTCATCTTGGGGGACACTGATCGCAGACAGAGGTGCTTTGTCCTCAATGATGAGGCAGTGTGTGTACGTGTGTGCACACGTGCACATACATGTGTGTGTGTGCACGTGTGTGTGCATGTGTGTGTGCGTGCGTGTGTGTGTGTGTGTGCGCGCGCGTGCACGTGTGCCTGTGAGCTGCCTGCCCTGGAGTGGGCTGAAGTGGTATTCACAGCATGATTAAGATGCAGTGTTCCCCAAGCCACACCAGCAGGCACTGGTTCCTGGCAGCAACTCACCATGCCCTGGCAGTTTGCAGAGTCTATACAACCATGCTGTGAGAGTCACAGCCAAGCCAGTGAAGCTTTACTTTCTGACCAGATAAAGGACAGCCCAGGTTTCTGGTGCTGCTAGCTGTTTGTCTTGTAAGCATAAAACACCAGCGGTGGTGGTTCATTTTATTATTTTAATGGCATTGGAGTTTTACAGGAGGAGAGATGGGAACAGGATGTGGACAAGGTGGCCTGATTCTATTTTGAACAGAAAGGGAGTGAGATGGGGAGCTTGATTTTCTTCACGTTATACTATGACCAGCGACTCTGCTTGTAGCTAACTTGATCTTACCTGCTGTGGAATTTCCTTAGTTTGAACTGGAAGTATCCAAGCTATCAGTTCATTTCTCTTTATTCAAGCTTCTTCTTCTTCTTCTTCTTCTTCTTCTTTTTTTTTTTTTTTTTGCATGACCCCAACACTCAACCAACAGAGCAAGCTTTGCTTAGAGACCAGTGAATTTGAGCAGGGCAGCCAGTGTTTGTTGACATAACTCAAGATCCAATACTATCTATGAAGCATCTACTGTATACTGCTAGACTTTGGAAGACCCTGGGCATTGAAACCTCCCACAGGCCATTCTCCTCCTCCTCTAGTGAGCTCATGGAAGGGACTGGTCTGTTGCTTCATCAGCTTCTCTCTCTTCATTTCATGTGAAGTTTTATGTATTAAACACAGCACCAGGTTGACACCCCCTTTTAAAAAGTAGGTTGAATTCACAGGTTTCCTCTTGCTAGGTTTTACTGCCTCCCATCTCTCTCCATGCCCTTACATACAACTGCAATATACTTCCAAAGTCTTTATTAATGAGAAACCATGAGAATACCTTTGGAATGCATTTCTGCCACTGAATGTTCTAATTTCGGTACTCGATGGCCGCCTGATTGAGCAACGCTGTGGACTTAGGGGCACCTACTCGAAATTCCGATAAACCAACTGACATGTGGGGGGGGTTACCCAAAAGCATGGAGAAAATGCAAGCCCATTAAGGGCATGCATAGTTCAGTAAGCTGTTTCCTCCTCTTTTTCAGGTTTTAGTAAACATCGGCAACCACTTTGACCTTGCCTCCAGTATATTTGTAGCACCACGAAAGGGGATCTATAGCTTCAGCTTCCATGTGGTTAAAGTGTACAACAGGCAAACAATCCAGGTGGGTTGGTTCAAAAGTCAAGGCCTGGAATGCTTGGTAAATGGGGGGAGGAGGGGTAGTTGGGCTGAGTCACCTGGAAAACCTGCCTTTCAGGTTCCAGGTATGTTGGCTACAAAATTAGAAGGAGGTGTCAATCCTTAGGGGAGGGAGAGAACAGGATGTGGGGAAGGAGGTGGTCTCTGATCTGCTGAGCCGTCCTCTCTGCTTTTATAGGTCAGTTTGATGCAGAATGGCTACCCAGTGATCTCTGCGTTCGCAGGAGACCAGGATGTTACCAGGGAAGCAGCCAGCAACGGTGTTCTGTTGCTCATGGAACGAGAAGACAAAGTTCATCTCAAACTGGAGAGAGGGAACCTCATGGGAGGCTGGAAGTACTCCACATTCTCGGGCTTCTTGGTTTTTCCTCTATAGACATGGAGCCACCTTGACAGTGGGAAGGTTTGGATCAGGACCCAGGGATCCGCCCTCTGTAACACCTCGAACTTGTCTGAATAGGATGGCTTGGGCTGACCTCCATCAGATTGTTGCCATAGAAGGATGATTTTCTCCTAAAGCTCCGGTATTTACTTTGACGATTGACAATTCCTCGGAACCTGGCCTCTAATTAGTTTTAGATGACAAGGTCTTAAGGAGAAATGAAATTATGGATTTGAGCAATTTGTACCTGTGATTGTGAAGTGGATATCGGATTTTATTGTTGGAACCGTTTGACTTACCTTCTATTGTTTGTACATTGTATCCTTGTCCTGATGACATAGATGCTGCTGATCCTGTGACAGATTGCACGCTGCAGTCAGGGCTTAAAGCAAGAGCCCAGCAAAGAACCGCCTACCCGGACAGTCCTTGACTTGTGTTCTGTGTGTGTGTATAGCCTTAAGAAAAAGAATGGCTTCATTTTCATTCTGTAGCTTACCCCTGGGGTCTTGGGAGGATTGGGAGGGAGCTGGGCATTTTGGGGACCTGTCAAAAAAGTGCTTTATCCTGAGAAGCAAATTTTGCACGATTGGACTGCAACTTTTGTTTTGTATTGTCCGTGGTTTTCTCCTCCCCCCCAACCCCCACCGGACACTTTCTTTTCCTTCCTCAGGTTTCACTCCTCAAACCTATTTAGTTTTCATGCTGGGGTCCTGGAGAGTGAGAGAGAGAGACAGACAGAGAGAGAGGGAGAGAGAGAGAGAAACAACTTATGTTCAGTACTTGTAAGAGATCAAAGAGAACAAAATGAAATCTGCATATTTTCTTTTGAATGAGAGGAAACCAGGAACAAACAAACAACAAGGACAGCAAGCAGACCATCCTGCATATTCTTCCCTGAAGTCTCTCTCGAATGCATCTTCAAACTTGCAACCTGGATTTTATTTATTTATTTTTAAATTTATACTCTGGGATCCTTTAAGAGCCTGGCATTCTTCATTGGCCACACAACCCTTAAAAGTGGAGCTGAGGTGGCTAAACACCTCTTGATGTGTCTCAGTGGTGAGTTAGAGCTGCCTCTGAGTGACCACACAATGACCAGATGCTTCAGAGAAACAGGACCAGCACCTCCTCAGATCTTCCTTTGATCTGTCAAGGAGAGGGATGTGTTGATGCTCTGTGGATGAACACCTGGCCAGAAGCCACCTGGACTGGAAGTCACAGCAGTTCAAGGTACTGGCTGCTGTACTCCATCAGTGGCTTTTTTTTCAAACCCTACTTGTTTTGGCATCTTGTGCAACAACAATATCCAGTTGCAGCGGAGAGAACCTGCACAGTCTGTGTGCGCCAAGGAAATGTCACGAATCCCAAAGCAATCAAAGATGAGACCTCAAACTGGATGTCAATCTGTCCTTTGTGTAACAATGTAACCAAAATATTGACCATAAAACTCATAATTTAAGATTCAGAATAAACGAGTTTGATGTCTGTCTTGCTCTAGTCACTCCTCGTCATCTCTCTCAAAATGATGGGGAGGCATAGGATAAGTACCAAGGACCTGGGAATATTAAATTTATGTTGTGGTTCTTTATAAAGGACACACACAACCACTGATGCAGCTACAGGTCTCTGGGGGTGCATTGCTCACTTAGATGTATTCAGTTTATATGTATGTATTTTTGTTGTTGTTCAATGAGTAAGAGTTTGGAGGAGAGAGCTAAAGGACAAAATTAAAGTTTAAGAGTAAACTAGTAACGTCAAAGATTTGAACATTTGAGAAGGCTCAGTTTTCAGCGTGTGTGTAAGGATGAGTTCCATGGGCAACAGGCAAGCGCAGGAAACACTGTATAGTTACAGTTGGATTAAAGTCCTCAGCTTTCTGTCCTAATGGGAACAAGGAAGAAAGATAAGAAATTTTATTGTATTGAAGTGATGTCCTCTTGTGAGTAGGGGAAGTTATTTTGGGTACTGTGACTCTGGCATGAAGATATATTTCTAGGTGTGAGCTGTGTTTGGTGATGCTTGGAACATAAGCAAAAGGAAGATGGGGTGTGTGTCCCTTGTGTTTTGTTATTCTTGGATGTTTTAATTCTCTCTCCCTCACCTCATGCTCAATTTAAAACAAGCAAGAAAACCTCATTTGAAGACAGCACATACACTACAGAGATTGTAAGATGTAGGAGTCCTTGTTATTAATATTTACATCCTTTAATAATGCATAAAGCTCATATTTCATCGTATTTATATCTTTATCGTGTACAGATTGCCACTGAGTAATACTGTCTCATAAATAAGTTATTAAATTAACCAATATAAATGTATTTTGGGAGTTTATTTTCTATTAGAAATCAGCTTCCTCCTGATGGTTGTACTCTTAGTCTTCTTTCTTTGGGAGTAATGCAAATGCCAGAAAGTACATTAGTACGTAGCCCTCATGGTAATGTTCTGAGTTGGCTTACTCTCTATTGCAGCATCTGTCTTGGTTATACCCCTCTAGAAACTATGTAGATTTATTAATTACTTGAGAAAATGAAGCTTAGCTAAATCAAGTTTTATTGGAATTAGAAGAGCTATAGAATACATCAATCAGAATAATACCTTTGCTGAAATCTCAATTTGCTTCTGATGTCCTTGAGAGATGTGACACTTCTGGGCTTGTCCCAGAAGAAACATCTATGTCAGATCGAAAGTTAAGATGTGATTTTTTTTTTTGTTTGTTTGTATTAAGAAGAATGGCCTAACATTTGTAGACAGAGCTCACCATTCCTGTCTCCTAGCCTCTGTGTTCATATCTGCAGTGAATACCCACACTCCATTGAGTCAGTCCACCCCACAAGGCTGTGAGATGACCTCTCAGAAGTTCTTGGAGAAGGACCAGAGAGCATTGGGCTAATGAATGAGACTTTTACAGCTAGAAGAGTCTTTCCATAAAAGCATATTTTTCAAAGTGTTGTTGTAAAGATCACTTAATAAATATATGACAGGAAGGTGTTTGGGCATGACCGTGTATTTCCAAAATTACCAAAAGACTACTAAAGCTGTTGAAGTTTCCCTTAATTGAATTTTTTAGGGAGAAGATAATGTAAAATTCCATACATCTTGAATTTATTAGGATTATCAATTATGTTATTTGGCTGACCTTTGTGGTTCACACTCATCTTTGTCTTCTAGTACATACTGCCAAATCTCAAAAAAATATGTACTGATAATATTATTACTTATAAAAGCAGCATAGATGACATCAGCATAACCAACACGTGGCTTTTTAGTATTAGCTATCTTTCATTGATAAATGTTGGCTTTCTTAAGCTGTTAATGCTTTTCAGGAAGTACTCTTTTCTTAAAATAGATTCTCAGTTGACATACAACTCTCATAACTGAATTCTAGGTCCTGGAAGACTATGTTTACCTGTTTACCATCTGTGATTCCTGAGACAATGTTTTTTTTTGTAGCCTAGTGTTTTTGTTCAATTTTCTTATAGGACAGGGACATTCATATAGTGTGTTCTTTCTATACCTGCCCATATCAAAGCTGATATAGACAACAGCTATTGAATACTAGCATAGAAACTCATGCCTCTATAGATTATATCGACTTATATACTTATAGATTCATCTACTTGCTTTAAAAAATAAAGACTTAGGTAACTCAACTTATGTTTAACTTCAGAAGAATTTTAAAACAAATTTTTTAAAACAAAACAAGATCTTTGCTGAAATTTGAATTGCCTGTCATGTTTTCCTAATGTCCAAGAAACCACAGTGGTCATATACTCAGTGACTGTTACATAGCATAGATACTGTTGCCTTCCAACACAATGATATACTCTTTTTATTTCAGTGATATTATAATAAAATATATGGATTATCTATATTTTCCTGGGATATAGGAATATGTGAGAGAAATATTTGACAAATTACATTCTACAAGCAAAACAAAGCATGGTTGCTACTTCTGCCTTCTGCCCCAACTGTAGCAAAAAAAAAAAAAAAAAAAAAAAAAAAAAGGAAATAATATTGTGTCAGTAATGTGGCCATATTTTCAACTCTATTATTATTTTTCATAATGTTTTTATTGATTATAAGGAAACAAATATTGTATAAGATAATGTTGTTGTCAATAAATAGTTAATATGTGTTTAAATTCCTACAGCATAAGAATATAACGATTAGTGCAAATATTCAAATGGATGAAAATCGTGCTATTTTTAAAGATGGAGTAAATATAGAAACAAGTTTCACTGAGTTACTCTAAAGGGTGATTTTTTCTATCATGTGGAAGCATTTGCAAAAATGTAGCAGGGTATTAAGTACAGAATTGCAATGAGTTTTGTCCTTTTGCCTTGTTTATATGGAAATTTCTTTATCTTGATATTGCTACTAAAATAGGATATAATTTTGTTTCAAACTTAAGGATAAGTCTGACATATCCTCTGGATAATTTTAATGTTACTTTTCTTAGCATTTTATGAGGAATTGCATCAAATTCCCTGAAGTTGACTTACCAGCGTCACATTGGTTTCAAACTTTTATTTCCTTGTGTTCCATAACTCTTCTCTGACATACTGTGAGCTGATGAGCCACAGATCTTAATGAAGACTGTATATTAGCCTTTCATTTAAACATTTTTGTGGACAAAGTTCACCAAAAGTCATGTTTACTGCTTTGCTGATGGAGACCGGCCATTAAAAATCAAAATATATAGCATACACAAACATGAACATACATGTGTATATATATACATATATACATATATATATATGTATATGTATGTATATGTATATATATATGTATATGTGTGTGTGTCTGTGTGTGTGTGTGTGTGTGTGTGTGTGTGTATTGTGTTGCTTTGTTTCACAGGTATCCGTGATGTAACTAGACAGTCAGTGTTCACAGCCCTTCTTCCCAAAACAGAAAAGTTATATAATAGCACTTATTCTGAGAAGAAGAAAAACAAAACCTTCAAGTAAACTTATCATGTCTATGGCTCTATGTACTGACATTATATCAAAATATGAATCTTCAGTAAATGAGGTTTCCTTACATTTCCAAACCCAGTAGGATCGCTTGCAAATTTTAAGGGCAAAACACCACATGGTTTTTGCCTCCTGCAGATGATAGAAGTTATGTTCCATCTTCCTAAGTGGGTTGTGCTGTGCATCTCCAGCTCCGGAGTCATTTACGTGTCCACAGTCTCATATGTCATCATCTTCATCAGTTTGCCCACATACACTCAGTGTGTAGTGTAAATGAGCTACTTGACAACCTAATCTCCATCCCCTCTTTTTAATGCCTATGGCAGGACTCCCCAGGGTCAGAATGCTGTATTGAGCTCCAGCTCGCTTCTTACTAATGAGGCAGGACTGCCTTGCAGCCTGAACAGCCATGACTTGTTCCATGCCATGC